CTTACTAGAAGGCTCTTGTTCCTCTAGATTAATGCTGGAGAGGTTGTATGTGTGTGTATTTACCAAGCTGTAGTTGCAGGGGTCGATTCACCGCCCCTGTGAGTGTATGTGTGTGTGTGCACGAGTACATGCGTGGGTGTGTGCGTGTGTGTGTGTGTGTGTGTGTGTGTGTGTGTTTTAAAGAGTCTCGGCTCTTCCCGTCCTCCCGGGGCCAGCAGGTAGCAGTGGCAGCAGCGGCAGCAGCAGCAACAGCAGCAGCAGCAGCAGCAACAGCAGCAGCAGCAGCAGCAGCAGCAGCAGCAGCAGCAGCAGCAGGAAGAGCAGTGTCCTTACAACCAGTGCGGGAGGCGGCAGGTATGTGTGCGTGTGGCAGGACCTACGCCAGATATGTCGGTCCTCATGCTGTGGTTGGTGCTATATTGCTCTACATGGCCTTAGTGTGTGCTAATAACCCGGCATCGGTCGTGAGAGAGACAGATTTCAGCAACCTAATGAAGCCAGACTCTGGAACCTTCAAACAACTTTATTAAAAACGACATTTCAGTGTTTCTGATGACTGAAATTTCGACTCGATATCCACATATTCAGAAAGTGTTAGTAGCAGTTGTGACGTTGGCGGAACACTTCGACCGAGTGGATCACTCGGTCGAAGTGTTAAACGGTATCTGAAGACCCATTTTTAGCACGATATATTGATCTTTACTACCACGAAACTCTTGAAGAGGCAAGGGAGAGAGAGAAATACCTTGATCCTGATGCAGAGAGTTTGATTTAAATACTCAGACCTCTCCTCCCCTTTCTAGGATCAATTCTGAGTGTCCCGTATACCCCTGCGTTAGTTCAGAGCTCTTCCACCAACTTCCATGCCACATTATGTGATTTATTAAGTAGCGTTCCAGTACACTAGCGTCTCAGTTCACCAGAGTCCCAGTACACCAGTGTCCCTGTGCACCAGCATCCCTGTGCACCAGCATCCCTGTGCATCAGCATCCCTGTGCACCAGCATCCCTGTGCATCAGCATCCCTGTGCACCAGCATCCTTGTACACCAGCATCCATGTGCACCAGTGTTCCAGTACATGTTTATATCACTTGTTGACTAAGTCAATTACATAAGTTGGTCACTGTGTGATGAGAGAGGGTCTCTGAATTAGTTGGGTTTCAAGCCAATAGACTGCATCGTGACTCATTTTGCGTGTGTATCACCTATGCACTAACATTTCAAGAATACTTTAATCCCCAAGGGAAAAAAATGAAATTAAAGTTAACTCTCAGAGTACATACGTTGAGAAATTTACAGTTTGGAGTGTGTGAGGCTTTGTAAATGAGCCTTCAGTAAGACTTGTTTACAGTTCAATAAGACTCGTTGTTTATAGTTCAGGACCTTAATTAATGGGAACGTTTCGCCACGAGTTGCTTCGCCGGTCCTAATGGAACCACTCGTGGCGAAACGTTTCTTTCAATACATGCCCTGAAGTGTAAACATTTGAATTTTTCCGCAGTTTGTCACTTACAAATTATGTAGCAATTTCTTCACATATTCTTGCTTCCGTTAGTGACAAACGAAAATTATCTTCGTTTGTACTGTTTTCTAGCAGCAGTGTTGATAACGTGCTGATAGGTTAGCAGTATGTTGATAACGTGCTGACAACGTGTGTTAATATTGTTTTGATAACGTGTTGCCGAATACCTGGAGTTTACCTGGAGAGAGTTTCGGGGGTCAACGCCCCCGCGGCCCGGTCTGTGACCAGGCCGAACTCCCTTAAAAATTCGAATTTCCCCCCCCCTCCAAAAAAAAAAAAAATAATTTTTTAACAGATTGATATATATTTTTCATTGACAGTGGCCTAAAAAAATTATTTTTGGACCAAACCTAACTTAGAAACCTCACCTAACCTAACTTAACGTATTTTTTTTATATAAATTCTGCTATGTTCAGCATAGGCTAGTTTAAATTTCTTTAATGTTGCTTAAAATCAATAATATTTAATTTTTTCGCTATGTTCAGATTAATTTCCGCAGGTGGCTGGGTGCAGGTGACCTGACACAGGTTTCTTGACACAGGTAACTTGACACAGATGACTTGATAGAGGTGACGTATGTGATTTTAATCTATACACCAAAATATGACTGATAATTGCTATTTCTTTTAGGATCACGTAGTGTATTGCACCTGGTGGACCGTTCAGGGTGAGACGCTCACGCCCGCTCATCCACCCACCCACCCACGCCCTCCCACTAACGCCCACATCGTCAGCGTCGTGGGCGTGTGGGCTAGGGTAGGGCTGATGAGCTGGACTGACGAACTGAACTCCTCCCAAGACTACATGGGCGGCTCCGATCTCATCATGGGTCACGACGCCCATGAGAATGTGGGCGTCGACGGGTGGCGAAATAATCCTCTGTGGCCCACACTGCCCGACTACCCTGACTCTCTGTGGTCCACACCGCCCGCCTACCCTGACCTGATCCTCAACCTGACTGACGACAACTTTGATACGGTGAGTGTCTGACCGGCATTCGTATATTTGTATACCTGGAGAGAGTTTCGGGGGTCAACGCCCCCGCGGCCCGGTCTGTGGCCAGGCTTCGTTTTGTAGATACAAAATCCTTGTAAAAAGTTGTGATACCTTTTATATAGGACAAACTGGCAAATCTCTTGAGGCCAGAATTAAAGAGCATAAATATTCAGTATCTAGTGGACAAGAATCCAGTTCTTTGTTCATTCATGTAAGGGATACAGGCAATTGTATAGAATGAACTATGCCAGAGAATTACTTCCCTGTAATTCTACAGTTCAAGAAAATACTTTGGATTCGTCTTTTATCAGTCATGATGTACATATTTTAAATTTGAGTTCTGGTATGTATAAACTTGACAGTTTTAGAGTCCAGAATATTGCTCATAATCTTAATGGTAAAAACATTTTTTTAGAAAAATACAGAGTGCGTTTTGAGTCAGGCGAACAATTTAACTTGATGTCTGAAATGTATGTGTGGGGACTGGTTTGTGAGGGACCTGTTTATGTGAGGTACTGTCACCTTCTCTGAGTGAGGTGTCAGTCAGTATTTAAAATTTAAAATGTGCTCTTGCCTCTTCTTCCTATTCTTCTGGAGATATGTGTGCAAGAACATGAAAGAGCTCAGGTTTTATTTCCTCTTTTCACTGTGGCATTTTCACACACACAAACACACACACACACCAATTATATATATATATATATATATATATATATATATATATATTATATATATATATATATATATATATATATATTTATTTTATGTGTGTGTGTGTGTGTGTGCATGTGTGTGTGTGTACTCACCTTATTGTGGATTGCGGGGTCGATTCATAGCTCCTGGACCCCGCTTTTCACTGATCACTGCTAGTCCTCTCCACTGTTTTATCTAAACATAGTCTTAAAACTATGTATGGTCCTGCCTTCCCTTACATCACTTCCCAGGCTATTCCACTTCCTGTCTAACTCTGTGATGAAGAAATACTTCCTAACATTCCTTTGACTCATCTGAGTCTTCAACTTCTAATTGTGACCCCTTATTTCTGTGTCTCATCTCTGGAACGTCCTGTATCTGTCCATCTTGTCAATTCCTCGCAGTATTTTGTATGTCGTTATCATGTCTTCTCTAACCCTTCTGTCCTCCAGTGTCGTCAGATCGATTTCCCTTAACCTTTCTTCGTAGTTTACTCACCTAGTTGTGGTTGCAGGGGTCGATTAACAGCTCCTGGCTCCTATGTGTGTGTGTGTGTACTCACCTAGTTGTACTCACCTAGTTGTACTCACCTAGTTGAGGTTGCGGGGGTCGAGTCCGAGCTCCTGGCCCCGCCTCTTCACTGATCGCTACTAGGTCACTTTCCCTGAGCCGTGAGCTTTATCATACCTCTGCTTAAAGCTATGTATGGATCCTGCCTCCACTACATCGCTTCCCAAACTATTCCACTTACTGACTACCCTGTGGCTGAAGAAATACTTCCTAACATCCCTGTGATTCATCTGTATCTTCAACTTCCAACTGTGTCCCCTTGTTGCTGTGTCCAATCTCTGGAACATCCTGTCTTTGTCCACCTTGTCAATTCCTCTCAGTATTTTGTATGTCGTTATCATTTCCCCCTTATCTCTCCTGTCCTCCAGTGTCGTCAGGTTGATTTCCCTTAACCTCTCCTCGTAGGACATACCTCTTAGCTCTGGGACTAGTCTTGTTGCAAACCTTTGCACTTTCTCTACTTTCTTTACGTGCTTGGCTAGGTGTGGGTTCCAAACTGGTGCCGCATACTCCAACATGGGCCTAACGTACACGGTGTACAGGGTTCTGTGTGTGTGTACTCACCTATTTGTACTCACCTATTTGTGGTTGCAGGGGTCGAGTCCTAGCTCCTGGCCCCGCCTCTTCACCGGTTGCTACTAGGCCCTCTCTCTCCCCGCTCCATGAGCTTTATCAAACCTCGTCTTAAAACTGTGTATGGTTCCTGCCTCCACTACGTCATTTTCTAGGCTATTCCACTGCCTTACAACTGTGTGTGTGTGTGTGTGTGTGTGTGTGTGTGTGTGTGTGTGTGTGTGTGTGTGTGTGTGTGTGTGTGTGTGTGTGTGTGTGAGTTTATCATTCGTAACGTAATTGCATCGTGAGGTGTAACTTGGTAAAAAATTTTTGTACTTGACGTAAGAGAGGAACTTGGCAATCTTGAAGTCTGTCCTACGTCTTTCCTTGAGAGTTACCATGGCTACCCAGCCTCCATCCCACCTCACGTATCGTCCTATACGAAACAGATTTAGGCGAAAGTATTAAAAGAAATTTATAGAGCAATTTGTTTTTATTATTTAGGACTATTTGCTATTGCCGGCGTTAAATCCACTCACATAAATCTTCTAGTTTACGAAAGGATTCCTGAAAAAATGACCTAATAAGCCAAATCTGTTATTGTGTCCGTTCTTCGTTTCATCTGCCGTTTCTAATATATTTATAGAGACTTACTCACAGATCGAAATATTCTGAGGAACATAAAGTAGATAACAGACGAATATACGAGGGAATATATTGTAAACAGAAGGAAGGATATGGTATCTAGAGAGACACAAGGAAAATCTGCCAGTGTGAGGGCTGAGAGATCTGATGTGGAGGATGTTTATACATATTCACCACCCGCTATGGCTGTGTGATGATCACCACCCACCGTGGCTGTGTGATGGTCACCATCCATCCAGGCTTGGTGATAGTCACCACCCACCGTGGCTGTGTGATGGTCACCATCCATCCTGACTAGGTGATAGACACTACCCACCGTGGCTGGGTGGTATCTGTCACTCAGTTGTTAAGGATTGTATGGATTCAGAAGCTAATTAGACAATACTTAAGATACTGCTGCCGTGACGTCCAGTTTATTGTGCTTCTCTTATCCATCTAACGGTAGCGTAAGAGCATAAGGAGATACAAAAGGCCTAGGAACTAGGCTCTAAAAGACACTAGGATATTTAATATTTTCTGGTACATTCTTTTAAATAATTAGATTACGTGACAAATCACAGAAGAGCATGGAGTTAGCTACTCCAGATGAAGGATTAACACGAGAGCTTTAATTAAACTCCCGAAGAGACAACTAGGCGTGGGATGGTTTCTACAACTCTGTTGCTGACAACTGCTTAAAATGACCTACTTCCTCTAGTGGGCCCCACTCACCTATCATGTCATTTCTAGCTACACCTCACTTCCAGCCTCTGCTGTAGGCTAAGAGACTGACCAAATTCTATCAAGGCTGAAGGACTGATTGCCTCAAAGCTGCCTCTCCACCCCTACCGTCTCCGGTATTCTTATCACTTCTGTATTCGACTGAGGAAGCCTGCTGAGAAGACGAAATATTTCGTCAATAAAATTACTTAGTGTTGCACATGCAGCTTACTCATAAACAACTAAGTGATTAAGGAAGTGCAGCTAGAATACTTGAAGAAGTGAGAGGGGTGCAAGTTGAATCGTAACAACGTTGATAGACAGAAGGCCTTGGGAGGGAGACATGATTATAGCATAGAAAATCTTAAAAGGCAAGGCAGGTTAAAAAGAGCTGTTGGGGCTCCAGGTATCACGCGAGGCTCAGGCCACTAAAATTTCATTAACAAGTTAAATATTGCTCCCCCCTTTTTTTTACGTATCATCCAACTTTGTGTTTGTTTTCCCCTACAGAGAATCGGAATTCACCTGAATGGCAATTACTGGAAAAATCATTAATTGAACCCAGCTTTGTGAGGGCGACTTTTGTGCGTGAGGCATCTTTTGTGTGAGGAAGCTTTTTGTGTGTGTAAGAGGCTCCTTTTGTTTGGGGGACGTCTTTTGATTGTATGAGGCTCCTTTTATGTTTTTTTTTTCTGTGTGAGGCTCTTATAGTGGGAATTCAGGGAAGTTAACTGATTCCCGAATCCGTTAGTACTTCTAAGTCTTGGGAAGGGGAAAGGAAGGGGGAGATGAGATAGCATGATAATTGGGGGGTATGCTACAGCCTAGCACATGAGCCTACGCCCTAGTATGCCACATTCTTCTACGAACTCTAAAGGGTAATATACCAACTCTTATATAAGTACTATAGCTAAGTTAGGGTTAGACATAGAGTAATTGAGCTTACTATCTACGATTACTTTTATCCCAGTCTGCTCAAATTGACAACAGGGTTATCCACGTGTACCACCCACCAGAGGAGACAGCCTACCCACACTAGTCAAGAATAACCACGTATATGATGAGAGTGTAGGCGAGCAAACTCCGCTTAGTCACGCCGGTTTACTCCTCTCACATAACCACGTAATTAAAGGGGGCGACTTACCCTACACTAGGCTAGTACAGTGAAGACCAATGTCATTCGCTAATTACATTACAACGTAAATAAGAAAACTCTTCACTGTTACATTACGTGACGAAAACTCTTGCACACAAAAGCCGGGTGTAGATCATTGACTCTTAACGTATCTGGTGGTGTTTATATCTGAAGTTAATGCCCTACGGACCGACTCACACCTCACGACGGTAAGTGCTTCTTGATAGTCCTATTGAATGCGCATTTATATGTATGTTATGGAGCACCGCCCACGTGTGAAGGGTCTTTCACTGCCCTTCTACACCGGCATACACTGTCCTGTGTGGAATATCAGAATATTCCCGTCTTTGAATGGGATGGCAGGTTTCTTGGACTGGATTCAACTAAAGACTTGATTGAATAATTAACTGATCAGTAACTCACCCACATACACCCTCTGTTCTACACCGTTTGTGTGGGGGATCACTTTTGTTTGTTGGAGGCCCCTTTTGTTGGAAGCTTTAGTGTGGGGGGACCTCTCTTTCGAATAGGGGAACCCCCCGGAGCTAGCACCCAGGTTAACCGGAAAAAGGAATCAGTAGGACAGATGGGGAAAGTCTGACTTATGAGAACAAGGAACAAGGACACACAAGTATATCGCAAGTACTTATTCGCCCTCATCGTAGTTGTAAGGCGAAGTTTGTCA